TAATTCTCACAACTCTCTACAATGGGTCAAGTATGCAGCATGGTATAGTATCCCCATTGTGCAGATGAGGAAATCAAGGCACAAGAGGTAAAGGACCTATAGCTACTCAGTGTTGGAGTTGGGTTTAAACCCAGGCCATCCAACTCCCAACAAAGGAAACCATACAATGCAGTATCATGAACCAGCACAAAAGAATGTTTAGAAGAATCCAGTAAAAATAACTCCGGACTACGGTGTGATCATGATTCAGCCCAAATTGTAGTCTAAGAAAAGATGCTCCAAGGAGGGGCAACCATTGTTATCCGTTCCTAACTCTTGTGAACACTGGGTGACTAATGAGATCTTTTGTTAATATTAAATAATTACAGCTATTATTTATTAAGCTCTTTCTGCATGCCCCATCCTGGGTTGCACACCTTACAGCCTATATCTTTCCAAGCACTTGTGAGTTGGCACTTTGTACCCATTTTAGACATTAGGATACCAAGGCTAAGAGAAGACACTGGCCGAAGTGTTACCCAGCCAAGAAGTGGCAGAACCAGGATTCAAACCCATGTTTGTCAGTTCCCGGAGCCATTAAACCTCCCTGGAACTTCTATGAATACTTTCTGATTTGTCAGTAACAAGATGTTACTACTTTCATAATGGAGAAATACTTTAAAAAAAAGAAGTCTCCTTAAGAAAGTAGATTCATTTATTTGTATTTTGTTAGGCATGTGCATTACTTTGATAAAATTAAAAACCCGACCTCACACCATACACAAAATTCAGTTCCAGATAGAGTGCCAACCTACATGCAATGCAAAATGATAAAGCTCTTGGAAAATAACGTAAGAGACTATCAGCCTGTTTTGGAGGTACAGAAGGAAAAGATTGATAAATTAGAGTACACTGAAGTTAAGACCTTTTGTTCATTAAAAAGAAAAAAGGCATTAAGAGAGGCCAGGCGGAGTGGCTCATGCCTATAATCCTAGCACTCTGGGAGGCCGAGGCGGGTGGATTGCTCGAGGTCAGGAGTTCGAAACCAGCCTGGGCAAGAACGAGACCCTGACTCTACTATAAATAGAAAGAAATGAATTGGCCAACTAATATATATATAGAAAAAATGAGCCGGGCATGGTGGCGCATTCCTGTAGTCCCAGCTACTCGGGAGGCTGAGGCAGGAGGATTGCTTGAGCCCAGGAGTTAGAGGTTGCTGTGAGCTAGGCTGATGCTACGGCACTCACTCTAGCCTGGGCAACAAAGCAAGACTCTGTCTCAAAAATAAAATAAGGCATTAAGAGAGTAAAAAGGCAAGCCATTGAGTAGATGTAAACACACAACATACAACTGACCAATGGCGTGTATTCCGAATATATAGAGCAAACCCATTTTAAAATGGACAACCCAATAGGAAACTGGGCAAAACACTTGAACAGGCACATCGCAAATAAAAGGATATCCAAAAGGCCAATAGGTAAATAAAACGATGTTCAATTTTATTACTCATCAGGGAAATGCAAATTAAAACTACAATGAACGACCACAACACACCCACCAGAATGACTAAACATAGAACACCGAACAATGCCAAGTGTTGGCAAGGATGTGGAGCGATGGAACTGCTCCAGGATAGCTGGTGGGAGGAGAAGAAATCATTACAACCACTTTGGGAAACTCTTCGGCTGTATGTATGAAATACATACACACACACACACATATATGCAAATCCTATAACCCAGATGTTTTACTCCTGGGTTTATACCCAAGAGAAATGTGTACATATGTTCATTAGCTCATGTTTCGCTATAATCTTGTGGTGAACAGAGCATCTACCCTGGGGCTAGATGGCTTGCATTGAAGTCTAGCCCCTGCACTGACAAGCTTAGGCAAGTGATTTAACCTCGCTGTGCCTCAGTTTCCCCGCCTGTGCAATGGAGGTAATAATACATCATAATAATAATACATCATAATATAACATGTACCAGAATGTGGACAGCAGCACTGCTTTGCAAGGGCCAATAAACAAATACATCAATGAAAGGAGACAGCTCAATTTTCCATTGACAATCGGTAGATACATCAATCGGGGTGTGTCCATGCAGTGGAGTACTACTTGGCAACTCGAAGGAATGGATTGCACTTCTAATTTATACGCCCAACCCACATACATTTCACAATCGTAATGTGGGGTGAAAGAAGTCAGACGTGAGTTCACACTGTATATTTTTATTTACATCACGTGCAAAAATAGGCGACACGGCATTATCGTGCATAGGAAGAGGCATGCTTAGGTGGTAAAACCAAAGTCAGATAAAAGTCAGTAAAATGGAGGGGAGGGAGAAAGCAGCAGAGGCGGGGGAGGGGGGAGCTGGGAAAGCTGCCAGAATTTTCTTTCTTCACCTTGGCGGTGGTTACACAGCGTGTTCACTTTGTCATAGGCATTAAGTGCAACATTTATGCCTCATGTGCTTTTCTGTATATATGTCATTATTTCATAATTTAAAAAATGTTTAACACTTTGCACTCGGATGTCGAGTGTGACTCGACACGGTCAGCAAAAATTATAGAGATTAAAATTACTCTTTGAATGTATCAATAATTTGAAATATAAGAAAATCCAAATAAATAAGTTTGTATGAAAAGAAACTCCAGTTTTTTATTCTACTGCCGCGCTTTGTAAAATCTGGGGTATTTAAAAAAAATTAAATCCCGAGTGGAATAAAGGAATCGAGAAAAAAAGCAAGCGAGTGGAAAGGGTTAAATAATTTTAAAGTGATTTTTTTTTTTTTTTCAAAGGAGGCTCATTATAGTCTTATCTTACAAACCAGGCGGACTGGATGTCTCAGGTATAATAGTAATTAGAAGGATTTTGTGGGGCACTTGCTCTGTGCCACGTGCTGTTCTAAGTAGTTTATATCCATGTATTACCTTGTTTAATCCTTGCAGCCACCGTATGAGGCAGCTACTATTGTTAGCCCCATTTTACAGGTGGGGAAACTGAGGCACGGTGAAGTTAAATCACTTGCTCAAGCTTGTCAAAGCAGGAGCTAAATTTAAACGCAAGCCTTCTCGTCCCAGGGTAGGTGCTCTATTCTCCAGAAGATTATAGTGATACATGAGGCAGGAGCCCTCATCAGGGTCCAATAGACTGATGGAATGAACTCATGGGCTGCATGAACTCAAATAGGAGGAAAAAAAAATTTACCTCTTCGCTTTTATTCCTTTTTAACTTAGCAGTTCTCAAAATTAAGTCTGGGATCACCTGTGGGTCCCCAAGACCCTTTTCAGGGAGCTAAGGAGGTCAAAACTACCATCACAATAATGTTAACATACATTTGTCCTTGTCATTCTGCAGAAACTACCTGACCTGTAATAACATCATCGCTCTCATGGCTAATAGAATGTATGCGTGTATCTTTGTGTGTTTTAAAAACGTTTGAGTTTTTATTTTCTTACATGGTAACTATTAATAGAGTTAACCCACATATACAAGAGCTTCATAATTATTTAAGAGTGTAAAGTTTGAGAACTGTTGCTACAATTGAAATCGAGCACATCTTTTTGTCATAAACAGGGCGATGGACCACAGGACTCTCAGGAGACCTGGGACTTTGTCAGGAGAAGAATTCACAGATATTTCCGAATCCCGTGACAGTCGTTGCAGGAGCCTCAAACATCTTCTGCACATTCATCAACACTTCGAAATTACCTTTGTTTTTTGGGCCTGCCACTAGATCTTGAAGTTTAATGCATTAATAAAGAAGTACATATATTACTGTATCACGTATTTGTTTTTAAAACATGTGTATATCTGTAATTCAGTAGCATTGGTTTCCTTGGTAATTATCTGTATTTACTTTTGCATTAAAAACAAGACCCTGAGAAAGGCTTAAGAACCTGAGATACTGGAAGGCCACCAGAAAAACTAAAAATAATTGGTAGCTGAAGGAGCCGTGGGTTAAGGTACTCAAGTTTGGGTCACAGAGCTGTATTTTGGGTTTTATTTTTAAGCTGACATGGAGACTTGCAAAGGTGGGGGGAAAAATTCAAACAGAGCAAAGGCTCATCTTGAATCCCTGGAATCCCCCCCCAGTGCAAATCTCTGAAATCCGTGTCCCCAACCTCCAGAAAGCCATATACTCGGAATTTACAAAGCAAAATCATGGGGTCACTTTATCTGTAGACAGAAAAGGGGAACCCCTGAAAATCCGGACCTTTGGGGCTGCTCCTTTTCTGGCCAGCTCCCCCCAAGTTTCCAACAGCTCACAGAGCTCCACCGGGAAGATTCCGGCTCAGTGCCACCGCCACCCCAAGCAGCTTCTGGGGTTCGTGCATTAGTACTAATAAAAACAACCGCGAGTTCTTATCTAGCCCTTACTCTGGCCCGGACGATGTTCCCGGCATGAAATGTCATGCCCTGACTCGTTTGATCCTCACAACAGCCCGTGCGGTACGCGCCAGAGTCACCTTCTCAGCCAGGTTGAGTGACCCACCTGGCGCACAGCTCAGCAGCGGCGCTGTCGCTCGAGGATTCCGATCTGGGGTTTCCGAGATGCCCAGGGGGGTCCGAGGAGGAGTCAGCTAGGGGGGAGGAAGGAAGCCGAAGCCTGGAGGAATTGCTAGGAGGAGGATGCGGGGGCGCAGAGGGAAGGGATGGGGATCCCCGAGGTGACCGCGCAAATCGGGGTACCCGGAATCGGGCAGGGCCAAGGGTGGGGGCCAAGGGTGTGGGTGCCCTGGGGGCTCCGCAGCTGGGGGGTGGGGCTGGGGGGGACCGAGGGGGGACGAGCGCAGCCTTACCTGTCCTCCGGGCGCCCACCTGGTGGCCGGCTTGAAGGTGACAGCGGCGCACCAAGTCTCCCTGGGTCCCCCTTCCCGCGCCCCGCCCTGGTGGGGTGTGCGTGGGGTGCTCGAGACCGGCCGGACCTGTGGGACCCGGGGCCCTGGCTGTCTGGGGAGCCCGTCACCCCAGGCGACCGGCTCTTCCGGGGCTGGAGCAGGCTGTAGGCGGCGGGAGGCCTCGGGCCCGCAAACCCATAAATACCAGGACGGCGCTGGTGGCGGGAGACGCGGGTACGGGCAGCCGCCGGCGCCCCCGAGGGTGAGCCGGGGTTCCCGAGGGCGCCCCCCGCCCGGGCTCCACCCAGCCCGGCAGGCCGTGGCGGGCCGGAGCCGGTGGAGCCGGCGGGAAGGGCCGGGGACGGGACGAGGGGCGTGTGCGCGCCGGCGGCGGGGGTGGCGCTGGGCCCGGGTGGGCAGAGGGGACGCGGGATCTGAGTCCCCCAAGCCCCACATGGGCTGCTGAGGAGGCAGCGGAGAGCCGCGAGGTCCCTGCAGGCGGGGTGGCAGGCTGGAACCTTGCGAGCAAGGTGGAAGAAACTGGGGTTACTAAAAGCAAGATGGAATGCTGGGGTGGCGCCACCACAGGCAGCCTCCGAGCCTGCCACCCGGCTCCCGCGACGACACCTCTGGCTTTGAGGGTGAGCTGCGGCTCAGAGAGCAAGGCCCTGGAATGAGCCCGCCTGGGTCCAAACCCTGGCTCCATCACGTCCTAGCCGTGCGGCTGAATCACTCACTTACTCAGTTTCCTCATCTGTGATATGGGGGTGATGGCCCAGTGGCCGCCACCTCATAGCAATGTCGTGAGGCTCCCGAGAGTTAATCTGTGCCAAGTGCTTAGCGCAGGGAGGCTCAGGGCGCTCGGCTGCTCCACAGTGATCATTAGTTTTTTTTCTCTCCCCAGTGCCTGGATAACCACCGCTTTGAAGACCTCCCTGCCATCTTGCCTGGCACCTGCCATCGCCCACCTGGTGGCACCGCCTGATCTTCCTCCGTCCTCCCGGCCCTTCCTGCTGTACCTGAGGAATCTGGTCTGCTCAGGTCCCTTCTCTCCCCATCTCTGCCCACACCGTCCCCCTACCATGCGCTCCCTCCCATGCTGCTTCCAATCCTGCTGCTGCCTGCTTCTGCTGTTCTTTTCTGGAGCCCAGGGCGCCCCAGGGGCTCCCAGCGCTGCCCCAGAGCAAGTCCATCTGTCCTACCCAGGTAAGTGTCCATGGACCTCCCTACGTCTCTCCCAGAGAGGCCCAGTGGTGCCTCGATGGTTGGAGGCACCCAGACTACCTGAGTTAGAATACCTGCTGTGTGGCCTTGGGCAAGTGACTTAACCTCTCTGTTCTCAGTATCTTCATCTGGACAATGGAGTAGTATTAGCACGACCTCCCGGGGAGGAGTGAATGAGTTACCACCTGTGTAGAGGCAGCACTGAGCTTGGTGTGTGGTAGCTTTTGTCTCTGGACTCCTTTGCACTGCGAAAAACCTCAAAGAGCTGTCGTTTGTGTGAGTTGTATCTAGCAGTAGTTACCATGTTAGAAATTAAAACTGTCATTTAAAAATATTTATTGTCATTTAAAATGCACAATAATAGCCTGGGTGCAGTGGCTCACTCCTGTAATCCCAGCACTTTGGAAGGCCTAGGTGGAGGATTGCTTGAGGCCAGGAGTTTGAGACCAGGCTGAGCAACATAATGCAATGTCATCTCTACAAAGAGTTTTTAAATAGCAAACAAATGAACAATAACAAATCCTTTCTGTATTAATGGAAGTGACTTTTCAATGGAAAATTACTATATTTTGCATAAAAAGAAATGTAGTGAGGAGAGTGGTGTTGATTTACATCTTTTTAAATCTCTTTTGTCTGTGGCTTAATGGGGGACAATGGGATTGTCCTCAGATCTGCTACTGCTTCAGTCTGTTGTGATGTGTTGCTTTGGGTGACTTAAGTGAAGGAAATCTGGTCTCATACAGATACGTGAAACAGGGAGGAAGATTTTAATAGGAGTTTCAGATAATTGTGGCTATTCTTCTCCTTCTCCTTCTCCTTCTTCTCCTTCTTCTCCTTCTTCTCCTTCTTCTCCTTCTCCTTCTCCTTCTCCTTCTCCTTCTCCTTCTCCTTCTCCTTCTTCTTCTTCTTCTTCTTCTTTCTTCTTCTTCTTCTTTTTTTTTTGAGACAGAGTCTCACTCTGTTGCCCAGGCTAGAGTGAGTGCCCTGGCGTCAGCCTAGCTCACAGCAACCTCAAACTCCTGGGCTCAAGCGATCCGTGTCGCTCTAGCCTTCCCGAGTAGCTGGGACTACAGGCTTGCGCCACCGATGCCCGGCTAATTTTTCTAGATATATTAGTTGGCCAATTAATTTCTTTCTACTTATAGTAGAGACGGCCTCGCTCTTGCGCTCAGGCTAGTTTCGCAACTCCTGACTTAAGATCCGGCCGCCTCGGCCTCCCAGAGTGCTAGGATTACAGGGGTGAGCCACTGCGCCTGGCCTATTCTTTGAGACTACACAAAAACCCAACACATAGTTGTTTCTTTTTAAAACAATTTTAAGCTTTTTATTTTAAAGTAATTGGACTTACAGATGAGTGCCAAACATAATACAGAGTTCCTGTATACCCTTCACCCAGCTTCCCCTAATGGCAATCCCTTACAAAACTGTGATACCATTGTCAAAGCTAAGAAATTAACACTGATGATCAGATTATCAACTAAATTTGGGATTTCACCAACTTTTCGACGAACGTCTTTATTCTAACCCCCAATTGCATGTTGCACTTAGTCTCATCTTTTGTATCTGTGACAGTTCCTTAGTCTTTCCTTATTTTTCATGTCCTTGACACATTTAAAGAAGATAGTTTCTTGGCCAGGTGCGGTGGCTCACGCCTGTAATCCCAGCACTCTGGGAGGCCGAGGTGGGCTGATTGCTCGAGGTCAGGAGTTCCGAACCAGCCTGAGCAAGAGCAAGAACCCCGTCTCTACTAAAAATAGAAAGAAATTAATTGGCCAATAATATATATAGAAAAAAATGAGCCAAGGCATGGTGGGCATGCCTGTTCCCAGCTTCTCGGGGAGGCTGAGGAGGAGAGATCGCTTGAGCCCAGGATTTGAGGTTGCTGTGAGCTAGGCTGACGACATGGCACTCAACTCTAGGCCTGGGCAACAAAGCGGAGACTCTGTCTCAAAAAAAAAAAAAAAAAAAAAAAGAAGATAGTTTCTTAAAGGTTGGTTGCAATGTGGAAAGAGAAACAACATTAATGAAATGAGTTGCCATTGTTGGCCTGGTGACCTTGGACTTTGCCCGGAGGCCTCTATGAAATGGGAAAGACAGAAGAAGCTATCTCATGGGGCTACTGTGACAATCCAGTAAGATCACAGCTGTCCTTTATTGGCCTACGCAATAATGATAGCAGATATATTCTTACTTAGCGCTTTAGATGGATGGATAACTCATTTAACCTTAAATCAATCTTAAGCTGTAGGTACTATTGTTACTCCTTATTTGACAAAACAGTAAAACTGAGGCTCATAGAGGTGAAGAGTCTGACCCCAGATCACATAGCCTGGAATTTGAATGCAGCAGGCTTGGTCAAGAGCACACGATCTTTGTTTTATTTATTTATTTTTTAAATTCATTTTTTATTTTATTTTATTTATTTTGTTTGAGACAGAGTCTCGCTTTGTTGCCCAGGCTAGAGTGGACGTGCCGTGGCGTCCAGCGCTAGCTCACAGCAAACCTCAAACTCGCTGGGCTCAAGCCAATCCTGCCGCCCCAGCCTCCCCAAGTGGCGGCGGGACGTACAGGCAATGCGGCACCGAATGCCAGCTAGATTTTTTCTGTGATATATTAGGTTGGCCCAATTAATTTCTTTCGTATTTATAGTACGAGGACAGGGGTCGTCCATCTTGCTCAGGCTGGTTTTGAACCCCCTGACCCCTCGAGGAATCAACCCGCCTCAGGCCTCCCAGAAGAGCTAGGATTACAGGGTGTGAGCCACCACGCCTGGCCTTTGCTTTAAAACTTTTAATTTTGCATTAATTTTACATCTAGCAGAAAGATCCAAAAGTATTGCAGAGTCCCTATCTCCCCCTCACTCAATTTCCCCTTATCTTAACATTTTATGTAACTGTCATGCAATAATTAAAATCAGGAAATCGGCCAGGCGTGGTGGCTCCCACCTGTAATCCTAGCACTCTGGGAGGCCAAGGCAGGTGGATTCCTCGAGGTCAGGAATTCGAAACCAGCCTGAGCAAGAGCGAGACCCAGTCTCTATTATAAATACAAAGAAAGGAATTGGCCAACTAAAAATATATAGAAAAAATTAGCCGGGCATGGTGGTGCATGCCTGTAGTCCCAGCTACTTGGGAGGCTGAGGCAGGAGGATTGCTTGAGCCCAGGAGTTTGAGATTGCTGTGAGCTAGGCTGATGCCACAGCACCCTAGCCCATACAAAAGAGTGAGACTCTGACTCAAAAAAACACAAACAAACAAACAAAAAAAAACAACCCAGGAAATCAAGATTGGTGCAATACTGTAAACCAAACTGCAGACCTCGTTTGAATTCACTGGTTTTCCACAAACGTCCAATTTCTGTTCCAGGAGCCAATACAGGGTCTCACACTGCATTTAGTCGTGCCAGTTTTTCCATCTTCGCCTATCTTTCATGATCTTGGTAGTTTTGAGTACTGATCAGTTACTTTGTTGGATATCATTTTGGGTTTGTCCATTGTTTCCTTAGGTTGGAATTAAGTTGTGTATTTTTGGCAAGATGATCACAGATGGGATCTTGTGTCCTCAGTGGATCACGATGTTGACATGACTTATTGTTGTCACTGATGTCGACCTTGATTGTTTGGATAAGGAGATGCCTGTTGGGTTTCTCCACTATAAAGTAATAATTCTTTGTTGTTGATAAATATCTTGGGGGAGATTGCTCAAGACTATGCAAATTCTGTTCCTTCTGAATGTTTACCCACTAATTTTACCATCCACCAGTGGATTGTATCTTCAACAATTGTTAGTGAGGTGATTGTCTAAATGTGATTTTCTAATTTTCTAATTCCCTCTTTCCATGTAATTGAAAGTTTACCGTAAGATGAGCCGTCCCTCTTTGCTCCACTTACTTATTTATTCAATTACTTATTTATATCATGGACTCATGGATATTTATTTTATTCCATGGGTGAAAAATCTAATTTTATTATTTTTTTTAGAAGCTACAAACTCATACTGCAGAAAATCTAATTCTATCATTATTTATTCTGCTACTCAGATTGTCCTAGATTTGGTCTCAGGAATTTCATCAGATTGGGTTCTCTGTTCTTTCAACAAGGCCCTGTCATTTTTGAGCACTTCTTCACTTTATTTATTTAATTTTTTGAGACAGAGTCTCACTGTGTTGCCCAGGCTAGAGTGCCATGACATCAGCCTAGCTCACAGCAACCTCAAACTCCTGGGCTCAAGCGATCCTCCTGCCTCAGCCTCCCGAGTAGCTGGGACTACAGGCATGCACCCCCATGCCCCTATTTTTTCTATATATTTTAGTTGGCCAATTCATTTCTTTCTATTTTTAGTAGAGACTGGGTCTCGCTCCTGCTCAGGCTGGTTTCGAACTCCGGACCTTGAGCGATCCTCCCACCTCGGCCTCCCAGAGTACTAGGATTACAGGTGTGAGCCATGGTGCCCGGCCGCCCCTGTCATTTTTGAGCACTTCTTCACCTTATGACACCACAAATTATTCCATGCTTGCCTTATATATTTCTTGTCTCATTCGTAGAATCAACAGTTTCTCCAATGGGTCCTCGTTCGTTTCATTAGAGAATGGGTACTTAGAAACTACGATCTGAGCGCTAGGTGTGCTTCTGCCACTGGGGGTGCTAGGCTCAACAGACAGAGCACGAGAACACGTGCATGTGTGCTAACGTGCCCACGTTTCTGTATTCAGCTCTCTGTGTACATATTAAATACCATGACATCATACTGATACCTCTAATTTCAGCCCAACACCAAGGGTTTATTTTAGCCTCATCTTTCCTTACTTGTAACTTTTTCTTTAACACTGAGAACCTGACTTTCACTGTGTACAATATACTGACTTATTTGCTCAATCCTAGCATATGCATGAAGCAGTTTCAGAACTGTTTGCCCATATTCTGGGGTACGAGCTTATTCACTAGATGACAGTATTCATGCACAGTCTTTTTTGTCTTTAGCCTTAAAATACCCAGTTAGGACACTGTTTCCAACAGTTATTTTTCTTCCCCCAACCCCTTCAGTGTGATTATGTAATTCATTTTTTTTTTTTTTGAGACAGAGTCTCGCTCTGTTGCCCAGGCTAGAGTGAGTGCCGTGGCATCAGCCTAGCTCACAGCAACCTCAAACTCCTGGGCTCAAGTAATCCTCATGCCTCAGCCTCCTGAGTAGCTGGGACTACAGGCATGCACCACCATGCCCGGCTAATATTTTCTATATATTTTAGTTGGCCAATTAATTTTTCTTTCTAATTTTATTAGAGATGGGGTCTCTTGCCTAGGCTGGTTTTGAACTCCTGACCTTGAGCGATCCACCCACCTCGGCCTTCCAGAGTGCTAGGATTACAGGCATGAGCCACTGCGCCCGGCCTGTAATTCATTTTTTAACATTGTTAGGTCCACATATTAGTGTTTATATTCCATATTGGGCTACCCCCACATCCTGGTGGTTTTATTTGTTTATATTTTGGGTGTGTGAAGGACATATGAAACATGACTATTGTTCCAGGTATCAGAATGATCACATTCACTGCCATGTGAGTTGTATTTAACTCATGCTAGTTTCAAGCCTGGGGCCTCATGAAGCATAAGTAACTTAAGTTGCATACAACTTATGCACAGAAAACAATAACATATTTTTCATTAAATTAGAAAGGATTGTTTTGTTTTGGAAGTTTTTATTCTATTTTCCTAATAAAACACCGTGACCCCAAAGGAAAAATTTATTTTTCTAGCATGGCTGTCAATGTGTTATAAAAAAGATTGACTCAGAGAAGTGTCTCTCCTTCCTCGTCCCTGCTACTCTGTCCCCATTGCCCCCTTTTTCCACCCCATTTTGGATCCATCCCCTGTAAGTAATCCATGTTTTTACTTCCTGGTGTATTCTTCCCATATTTCTTTTGTACAAATGAGCAGATACTGGCATATTTTCTTATATCCCCTTATATTAAGGGTATATCTGACTATACTCTTGTGCACTTTGCTTTTTTTGGTTTAACAATATGTCCTGGAAATCATTTCATAACTGTTCTTAGAGCTTGTTCTTTTGTACACCACTGTGTGGATCTTATTCAGTCACTCTCCTAAATCTGGGCATTTTGGTTGTTTCCCGCATTTTGCAATTATAAAGAGAGCTGCCATAAATAACCCTGTGCACATGAATTGCTGGAGGAAGAACCCATGCTCTTAACAGTATGCTATACCATATGGTATTTTTATAACCTTGATTTGGTTGCTTGCATTTAAAAATTTGAAGCTATCACTTAAAACTCTGGACCCAGCACTTTGGGAGGCTGAGGCAGGAGGATCAACTGAGGCCAGGAGTTCGAGACCAGCCTGGGTAACAAAGGGAGACCGTGTCTTTACGAAAAATAAAAAATACTCAGTTGGCATGGTGGCGCATGCCTGTAGTCCCAGCTACTCGGGAGGCTGAGGCGGGAGGATCACATGAGCCCAGGAGTTCGAGGTTGCTGTGAGCTAGGATCACACCATGGTACTCTAGCCTGGGTGACAAAGCGAGAATCTATCTCTTAAAAGAGAAAAAAAAATCTGGATTTGCATATCTATCTATATATGCTCCTGGGTTATAAAAACCACTGTGTAAAGATTTACTCTAGCAGTTGATAGATTTGGTGGCACTGGGCCTGCTGCCTGCTTGGCAGCTGTCTCTTTTAGACAGGGTGGGGTCTATAGTTTGCCACATGCTCTGCAACTCTCTGCTGACTTACAGCTGGCCTTTGTCCCCCTTTATATGACCCAGCTGGCCTCCAGATATCTGCGTGGGCAACTCTTCAATGGTATTATGTGTGTACAATGTGTGTGTTTGGCACAAGGTCTGTGCACAATAAACAATGATATATATATATATATATATTTTTTTTTTTTGAGACAGAGTCTCACTCTGTTGCCTGGGCTAGAGTGCCATGGCATCAGCCTAGCTCACACAACCTCAAACTCCTGGGCTCAAGCAATCCTCCTGCCTCAGCCTCCCGAGTAGCTGGGACTACAGGCATGCGCCACCATGCCCGGCTAATTTTTCTATTATCACTAGAGACGGGGGTCTCACTCTTGCTCGGGCTGGTCTCGAACTCCTGAGCTCAAATGATCCACCCGCCTCGGCCTCCCAAATTTTTTCTATATATTTTTAGTTGGCCGATTAATGTCTTTCTATTTTTAGTAGAGACAGGGTCTCATTCTTGCTCAGGCTGGTTTCGAACTCCTGACCTGGAGCAATCCGCCCGCCTCGGCCTCCCAAATTTTTTCTATATATTTTTAGTTGGCCGATTAATGTCTTTCTATTTTTGGTAGAGATGGGGTCTCGCTCTTTCTCAGGCTGGTCTGGAACTCCTGAGCTCAAATGATCCACCCGCCTCGGCCTCCCAAATTTTTTCTATATATTTTTAGTTGGCCGATTAATGTCTTTCTATTTTTAGTAGAGACAGGGTCTCATTCTTGCTCAGGCTGGTCTCAAACTCCTGAGCTCAAACGATCTGCCCATTTCGGCCTCCCAAAGTGCTAGGATTACAGGCGTGAGCCACTGCGCCTGGCCCATAATGATGTTAATAATAATATCCATCCCCCCATATAACTCCGACTGTCATAGGCACTGTTTTAAGTGCTTTACTTATATTTATTCATCTAAGCCTCATAACAACCTTAAAGGATAGATACTATTTGCTATTCCATTTTGCAGATAGGGAAACTGAGGCTCAGAGAGATGAAGCAGCCTGCCCAAGGACAGCACAGCGTGGAAATGGCAGAGCTAGGATCGAACTTGGGCAGCTCCAGAACGGTTGTCCTTAGCCACGAAACGTTCCAGAGCTGTCGCCGTCAGTGGCCTCCCTGCCCTGCCCCGGCCTCACTGCCCAGGCCCTCCCTGTTCCTCTCTCCCCAGGGGAGCCGGGCTCCATGACGGTGACCTGGACCACGTGGGTGCCGGCGCGCTCCGAGGTGCAGTTTGGGATGCAGCTGTCGGGGCCCCTGCCCCTGCGGGCCCAGGGCACCTTCAGCACCTTCGTGGACGGCGGCGTCCTCCGCAGGAAGCTCTACATGCACCGGGTCACGCTGCGGGGGCTGCTGCCCGGGGCCGAGTATGGTGAGGAGCGTCCCGGGCTGGGGTGGACAGGGGCGAGGGGTCAGCCCCTCCAGCTCTCCAAGAGGATGGGGGTTGGGGGAGGGGTCCCGGGGACACCCCAGCCCACCGTGACCTTTTCCTCTCCTCTCAGTTTACCGCTGTGGCAGTGCCCGGGGCTGGAGCCGTCGGTTCCGCTTCAGGGCCCTGAAGAATGGGGCGCACTGGAGCCCCCGCCTGGCTGTGTTTGGGGACCTGGGGGCTGACAACCCGAAGGCCCTGCCCCGGCTGCACAGGGACACGCAGCAGGGCATGTACGATGCCATTCTCCATGTGGGTGAGGCATCAGCGAGGGCGTGCCTGGGGGGGGGACAGGGGTGAGGACAGGGCCGGGACCGCGGAGGGGCCAGTGTGGCTCCGGTGACTTTGGCTAACCTGCTGCCCGGGCTAAAATTCCAACTCTGCCCTTACTGAGCTTTGCTTTTCCCCTGCGGATTATTATCATCAGTTCTGAGGATTGTCATGCGACTGCTTAAGTTCACACGGCCGGCAGGGTGCGAGTGCTGCCTACCTGTGTGCTGTTGTCATCATTGCTGCTGCTGCCGCTGCTGTGCTTATTTGAGGGGGACAGGGGACTGGGGTCAGGCTCTGGGTTTTATTCCTGGATCTTCACTAACGAGCTCTGTGACCTGGGGCCTCAGTTTCCCCATCTGATATGGGGATCACCCCCTGCAGAGGGGGTTTTGAAGACTTGGGCGATCATGTACATAAAGCCTTTGGAACTGCGCCTGGCACCAAATCGGTGCCGGACTCTCCCAGTGTTAATGTTCTGGGAGGGGCCAGGGGACAGACAGAGATGGGGCTGGTGCGCTCGGAGCACAAGCGACAACCTGGTCCTGGCGGGGACCAGAGGTGCCCCAAGCACATGTGGGTGGGTGTGACGCAGGGGGTGGGGACTGGGGGAGCCCCAAGGCCAGGGGTGGCCCAGCGCACACCTGAGCGACCAGATCTCTCACTTCCGGCCAAATCAGAGGCAGGTTCGGGTCCTCACTCCCCTCTGCCTCCCGTCCGCAGGAGACTTTGCCTACAACATGGATCAGAACAACGCCCGTGTCGGGGACAGGTTCATGCGGCTCATCGAGCCGGTGGCGGCCAGCCTGCCGTACATGACGTGCCCCGGGAACCACGAGGAGCGCTAGTGAGGACGGGGTGCGGGGGAGGGGGCGGCCGGATCACTGGAAATGGTTGTGTCTGTCCTCCTGGGCGTCTCCCCTTAGTCCTCCTGGGTGTCTCCCCTTAGTCCCTCGTATTGCGGAGTCTCTCTTTTTTATTTTTTTGGAGACAGAGTCTCACTCTGTTGCCTGGCTAGAGTGCTATGGCGTCAGCCTAGCTCACAGCAACCTCAAACTCCTGGGCTCAGGCGATCCTCCTGCCTCAGCCTCCCCAGTAGCTGGGATTATAGACATGTGCTACCATGCCCGGCTAATTTTTCTATTATCACTAGAGACGGGGGTCTCACTCTTGCTCGGGCTGGTCTCGAACTCCTGAGCTCAAGCGATCCTCCTGCCTAGGCCTCCCAGAGTGCTGGGATTGCAGGCGTGAGCCACCGCGCCTCGCCCTGTGGCCTCTCGTTGTGTATCGAGAGGAGACAGGGTGGGGGAACTGGGGGCCAGCCGGGCCTGAGAGTGGGCTGGGACAGCTGGGGCAGCTGGGGTAGCTGGGGTACCCAGCCCCTCACCCCCTCCCTTTTACTTCCTTTTTCCAGCAACTTCTCTAACTACAAGGCTCGCTTCAGCATGCCGGGGGACAACGAAGGCCTGTGGTACAGGTACTCTGCGGGGACTGGGAGATTGGCCTGCTTCCCCCAAAGGATGGGACATGCAGAGGAGACCCCATCTCTGAATCCCTGACCCCTGCCCTTTGACCCCTGCAGCTGGGATCTGGGGCCGGCCCACATCATCTCCTTCTCCACGGAGGTGTATTTCTTTCTCCATTACGGCCGCCACCTGGTAGAGAGGCAGTTCCGCTGGCTGGAGAGTGACCTCCAGGTAACCTGGGTGGGGGGTCCCCTTCCGCCCCTCCCCTCCCCCTCTGCCCACCGCTGCCCTTCGCCTGACCCGGGCCCTTGTCTCTAGAAAGCCAACAGGAACCGGGTGGCCCGGCCCTGGATCATCACCATGGGCCACCGGCCCATGTACTGCTCCAACGCGGATTTGGATGACTGCAGGCGGCACGAGAGCAAGGTGAGGACCCCCTTTCTGGGTGGCCGGGCGGAGGCGGTGAGAGCCACCTGGGGCTTCGGCCTGAGCCTCGCCTGCCCGTTCACCCTGCCCAGGTCCGCAAAGGCCTCCGAGGCAAGCTCTACGGGTTGGAGGATCTCTTCTACAAATACGGTGAGTGGCCCCGGGACAGCCCGGCCCCGTGCCCCGTCCCTCCCGACCCGGGACCTGACGCCCTGCTCTGTCTCAGGAGTGGACCTGCAGCTGTGGGCGCACGAGCACTCGTACGAACGCCTGTGGCCCATTTACAACTACCAGGTGAGACAGGTGGCCGGCGAGGCACCCACGTGGCTGGTGCCACAGTGGCCAGACGCCCTGGGTGTGGCCTGGTGTGACCCCCACACACACCCACTTGTTCCCCTTCTCCAGGTATTTAACGGCAGCCTAGAGTCGCCCTACACCCACCCCCGAGGCCCCGTCCACATCATCACCGGATCCGCGGTGAGCAGTGGGGTGGGGGGACGCCCGGCTTCTCTCCTCTTGCCGGTTATTGAGGGGTGACCTGGCTCCAGCCCGGGTGCCTCTCGCTTCATACTCTTGTGTCACTCAACCTGCATCCCTGCGGTTAGGTACTCCCAGCAGCGCGCCCCTTGTGCAGATAGATGCAGGAGTGGAGGCTCAGGAAAAAGACTCGCTCAATGTCACAGGTTGCCTAAGTGGCGGGTTTCTTCCCGGTAAAGTGACTATAGTTCCCTGTTTTTTGAGACAGAGTCTCGCTTTGTTGCCCAGGCTAGAGTGAGTGCCATGGCGTCAGCCTAGCTCACAGCAACCTCAAACTCCTGGCTCAAGCAATCCTGCTGCCTCAGCCTCCCAGGTAGCTGGGACTACAGGCATGTGCCACCATGCCCGGCTAATTTTTTCTATATATTTTTAGTTGGCCAATTAATTTCTTTCTATTTTTAGTAGAGACGGGGTCTCCCTCTTGCTCAGGCTGGTCTCAAACTCCTGACCTCAAGCAATCCGCCCACATCGGCCTCCCAGAGTGCTAGGATTACAGGCGTGAGCCACCGCGCCGGGCCTGCCCCATTTGTTTAGTTGGTTAACTATTTATTCATGTCAGTGTGGACTCCTGGGTAATCTATCTTATTCTGCGGGTTATGAACCAACGCTACTGTTGTTTATTCCGATGCTCAAGTTGCAGCAGGTCTGGCCGGCAGGAGCTCGCTCAGGGGGACTCCCTGTCCCTTCCACGAGTCCCCGTCATTTTGTGAGCAATTTCCTGTTTTCCCTGCCTGGCCTTGGTATCAGCCCCTTCTCCAAGGAGAGAAAGCTTAGTTTTTTAAAGCTGATCCTTGCAAATTATTAAGATCAAAGTAAGAGCCACTCGTGATAAAAATTGAAACAGTGCAGAGATGTCAGAAGGTAGACGGCAGCCACCCACGCCACCTCTTGTCCAGCTCTCGGTTGTTGTGACGGGCCTAGGGTGGCGATCTGCAGTGTCCTCTGCATATACAGGTGAGTGATTGTCTAGACAGAGGTGGGGAACTGTAGTACCCACTTTTAAAAAGCAACGTGGGGGCCGGGCGAGGTGGCTCACGCCTGTAATCCCAGCGCTCTGGGAGGCCCAGATGGGTGGATTGCTCAAGGTCAGGAGTTCCAGACCAGCCTGAGCAAGAGAGAGACCCCGTCTCTTCTAAAAATAGAAAGAAATGAATTGGCCAACTAAAAATATATAGAAAAAATTAGCCAGGCGTGGTGGCACATGCCTGTAGTCTCAGCTACTCGGGAGGCTGAGACAGGAGGATCGATTGAGCCCAGGAGTTTGAGGTTTCTGTGAGCTAGGCTGACGCCATGGCACTAGCTCAGGCAACAGAGAGACTCTGTCTCTAAATAAGTAAATAAAAAGCAACATGGGGCCGGGCTCACACACACCTGTAATCCTAGCACTCTGGGAGGCTGAGGCGGGAAGATTGCTTAAGGTCAGGAGTTCGAGACCAGCCTGAGCAAGAGTGAGACCCCCCCATCCCTACTAAAAATAGAAAAATTAGCCAGGCGTGGTGGCATGTGCCTGTAGTCTCAGCTACTTGGGAGGCTGAGGCAGGAGGAGCACTTGAGTGTGACGTTGCAGTGAGCTATGATGATGTCATTGCGCTCTAGAGCACAGGCAACGGACTGACACATTTTCTCAAAAAACCCCCAAAAAACAAATAAATAGAAAGTTTTCTCAAAGAGTCTACTATGCAGCCACAATTAAGACACCGTGTTTTCTTCTCATCCTTCAGATTGCTTTCCCCCTTCGCAAGTGCATCCTGGCACTCTCTGTCTCTCTCTGCCCGCGATGGCTATGCTATCATTTATTTAACTGGCTCCCGCGCTGGGCATTTGGGTGGCTTCCAGTTCAGGGCTTTTATAGAAAATGCTGTAGTGGGCAGTCTTGCACAGCCAGGGACTTTTCTAGAAGTCGAAGACCCCGGGGCAAGGGAAGCCTGGCTGGGTCAAAACACTCAATTGTGAGCATTACTGTGGGCGAGTCTTAGTTGGCTTTGTCTTCCTTGGGGACGCCCGGGTCATTTCTGTTCCCTGGGGGTCCTCCACCTGTCTCAGCCCCCGGCCTGACCAGTTCTGCCCCGCAGGGCTGTGAGGAGCGGCTCACCCCCTTCACCGTCTTCCCGGGGCCCTGGAGCGCGGTGCGCGTGAAGGAGTATGGGTACACGCGGCTGCACATCCTGAACGGGACCCACGTCCACATCCAGCAGGTGTCCGACGACCAGGTCAGTGAGCCGCCAGGCCCAGCGTGTGCGGGAGCTGAGTGTTTAAGAACCTGGACTCCTAGCACTCTGGGAGGTCGAGGCAGGCAGATTGCTCGAGGTCAGGAGTTCGAAACCAGCCTGAGCAAGAGCGAGACCCCGCCTCTACTAAAAATAGAAAGAAATTATTGGCCAAATAATATATCTAGAAAAAATCAGCCGGGCATGGTGGCGCATGCCTGTAGTCCCAGCTACTCGGGAGGCTGAGGCAGGAGGATCGCTTGAGCCCAGGAGTTTGAGGTTGCTGTGAGCTAGGCTGATGCCACGGCACTCACTCTAGCCTGGGCAACAAAGCGAGACTCTGTCTCAAATAAAATAAAATAAAATAAAATAAAATAAAATAAAATAAAATAAAATAGTGCTTAGAACACTATCTGGGACTTGGTAAATTCAACAACCCCATAGGGGTGGATTTTCTGTCCATTTTACAGATGAGGGAACTGAGGCTTAGAGAAGGGAAGTGATTTTCCCAGGGTCACAGAGCTGGGGGATGGCTGAGCGGGGATCTGCTGGCCACCATGTATCGAGTGGCGTGTGCGCCAGTCACAGATGTCTGTTTGCATATCTCGCTCAGTTGGCACGATGACCCCGTGTGGGCTGTTCTAGTGCTCTCGCCATTGCATGGGATGTGGAAGTTAAGCTCAGAGTCCTGTTGTGAGCTTAAGGCCGCACAGAGAGAGATGCACTGGAATATAAACCCAGGTTTGTCTGACCACGTGGTTTGTGCTCTGATAATCACAGCCTACGCTTATGCAGGCCTTTCCGTGTGCTCTGTTGCAAGCCTTTACAAATAGCATCTCATTTAATTCCCACAACATCGATGATGTTGGTGCTATGACTATCATCCTCGCTTTTTAGACGAGGAAAACTGAGGCAGGCTCGGAGAAGTCTAGCAACTTGCCCAAAATTGGACGGCCGATCAGAGGCAGAGACGGGATTTGAACCCAGGCCATCAGAGTTCAGGCTTTCTGTTCTCACCTCCTTCCCTGTTTTTGTGCCTCCCAGGACGGGAAGATCGTGGATGACGTCTGGGTGGTGAGACCCCTGCGCGGCCGGAGGATGTACCTCTAGGGCTGGGGGGCAGCTGTCATCAGGAACCCGGTGACCGGTCACTGCCCAGGCCGGGATGGGGAGCCGAGGCGGGCCCCCCGACTCCCCTGCCCTGCGGAGGCCCCACGTGGGGTGTGGCTGCGGCTCTGGTGGAGCCGGGATGCTCTCCCTCCTGGAGAGGTGGGAGTCCCTGCCGGCCGGCTGTGGCGGGAGGGCACAGAGTGACGCGGGGCGGGTCCCCGGCCGCACAGCCCCGCCCTCCCGCACAGCCCCGCCCGGCCGCCCGCACTGCCAGCCTCGGGTCAGCCGGGCGGACACAAGCGGCATGACGCCACTCGCCAGCAGGGGGCGCCAGGGCTTCTTCCTTCTGATCCTGGTCCTCAGAGTCAGCCTGAAGCCTGGCTCCCTGTCCTCCAAAGAGTGCTGCCCGGTGTCCCTCTGTGCCTCAGTTTCCCAGCCTGGCACTGTCTCACCCGGGAAGACGGGAAGTGTTAACGCTCCTGCCTCTGAGCTGGGACAGCGGACGAGCTGTATGAGCTCACAGACGTGCCAGCTTCTTTCTCTCTTTCCTTCTTCCTTTTATTTATTTAATCATTATTTATTGAGTGTCTGCCACGTGCCAGGCCGTGTTCCCAGTACCGGGGAGACAGCCACGGACAAGACAGGGACCCCTGTCCTCATGGAGCTGACGCTGGGACCGGGGAGTCAGACTTTAGTAAACATGACAGATAAGTGGGTTAGACACACATCTGCTCAGGGCGACCTAAGGAGGGTGACGTTGGATCTAGGGGGGTGAGGAAGGAGCGGTGGGCAGACGTCAGCAGAGACAGCCCGTGCACAGGCCCAGAGACAGAAGTGCGTCTGCCCCGTTGGAGTCTCCCCGAGGAGGCCAGGGTGGCTGGAGCAGAGAGAGGGAGAGGAGATTGAGGCCGAGGACAGGGAGGTGACAGGGATGGATCGTGTGGGGCCTTGTGGGCCACAGTGAGGATTTTGGACGGAGCCAGGGCGGGCTCTGTGCAGGTGCAGGGTGTGATCGCAGCCGAGGAGTCTGAAGCGGAGGCCGGGGGCTGCCCCTGGGGAAGCCTGCAGGTCCCGGCCCTGCGGATGAGCTGGCGTCTGGTCGCTGTGCCACACACCGGCGTCCCCGGGCTCCCGGAGCACAACGAGCTGCTCTGGCCCGCTGTGGGGCTGCACATGGGCCATCTGGGCTCCCCAGTGCTGTCTCCCTGCTCCCCGGGGCTGGCACCTGCTCAACCTCTGGTCTCAGCCCCAGTGTCCCCTCCTAAGCAGCCTTCCTTGATGACCCGGCTAAAATAGCCTCAATTGCTCCCTGTCCCATCCCTGTTTCCCTCCTTCCTTTTTCAGGAGTGAGGTTCGATTTCCTTTTTTTTTTTTTTTTTGAGACAGAGTCTCACTCTGTTGCCCTGGGCTAGAGTGCCATGGCGTCATCGTAGCTCACAGCAACCTCAAACTGCTGGGCTCAAGCGATCCTCCTGCCTCAGCCTCCCGAGTAGCTGGCACTATAGGTGTGTGCCACCGCACCGTTTAATTTTTCTATTTTTAGTAGAAACGGGGCCTAGCTCTTGTCCAGCCTGGTCTCGAACTCCTGAGCTCAAGCGATCCTCCCGCCTCGGCTTCCCAGAGTGCTGGGATTATAGTGTGGGCCATTTTGTCCACTCATGAGTGTGTCACCTCTACCAAACCCTCCCAGGCCCCTTCTTTGCCTCGGTTGAGGGCCCTGGGCCCCTTTCATCCCCGCCCTTCCCATTCTGGGCTGTCGCCATCTGGACGTGGGTCTCTCTGACTCCCCCACTGGAATCGTCAACCTCAGGAAGGTGGGACCAGGGCTACACCCCAGTTTTGCCCAGCACAAGATAGATGCTTGATACATATTTGTCATCTTAGGCTGTCACATGCCAGGATCCAGGCAGGTAATGCCGGGGACAGCGATGAGTCAGCCCCAGTCATGGCCTCTCGCAGGCAGGCGGGGAAACGTGGTTACCCAACACGGTGACCAGCAATGAGGCAATGCCACGGAGGGCTGGAACAAGACTGTGAACTCACAAGCTGGACAGTCATTGCGTGTTGCACCCCAAGACTGAGCTGGTGCTTGATGTGGGCCCGGCACGTTCCGTCCTGGGCTGGGTGGGGCTACGGGGAAGTGGGGTTCACAGAGGGCAAAGGCCTGGCACTGGAGCCAGACAAACTGGGTTCAAATCTCAGCTCTCCCACTTCCTGTGTGACCATGGGCCAGTCACCAGCCCTCTCTGAACCTGTTTGTTGGTCTGTAACATAAGGATGGTGGTACTTTATGCGGTTGCCGTGGGATTAAATGAGGTTGAAAGCCTTTGACTTGAACTTGACTCCTCTTTTTCTCATGCCCCATATCCAATTAGCTAGGGAATTCCGTGTGCCTTTAAAATCTATCTGGAATCTCTCCACTTCTGCCACCTCCAAGCCCCACCCTGGCCTTGCTACATTCATTTCCCACAGACTCCCTGCTCCTGCCCTGTCCCTGGAGATCTTTGCTGCCTCTTTTCAGAAAATTTTTTAAATAATAATATATTTATTCTATTTCGGGTGAAAAAGAAACACACTCATTGCTTTAAAAAAATAAATTCAAACTGTGCAAAACAATGAAGTAGACACAAAAATGATATGTGGGGTAATACATGTGTTAATTAGCTAGTGTTAGTCGTTCCACAATTCATAGATACTTCAAAACATCATGCTGTACACGGTCAATACGTGAAAGATTCATGCAGAACTGGAAATTTCCTGCTGTCCCATTGCTAACAGCTGTTAACTTTCAACATTTTGATATGTCTCTTCATAACCCCTGATTTTTTAAAAAATAAAAACACTCTCATATGACAAGGGAGGGGTTGTGCTTTGTTTTTCTTTCCTGCTTAAATTAACATAAAATCACGTACTGCAGTTTTTCCATTTTTTTGGAGACAGAGTCTTGCTCTGTTGTCCAAGCTAGAGTGAGTGCCGTGGCGTCAGCTTAGCTCACAGCAACCTCAAACTCCTGGGCTCAAGCGATCCTTCTGCCTCAGCCTCCCGAGTAGCTGGGACTACAGGCATGTGCCACCATGCCCAGCTAATTTTTTCTATTTCTTGGAGAGACAGGTCTCTAGGTCTTGCTCTTGTTCAGGCTGGCCTCAAACTCCTGGCCTCAAGGGATCCTCCAGCCTCAGCCTCCCAGAGTGCTAGGATTACAGGCGTGAGCCACCGCACCCAGCCTCAGTTGTTCCATTTTTAAGAACAAACTTCATTTTCTGGAACAGTTTTAGATTTACAGGAAAATTGCAAAGATAGGAGAGTTCCCATGAACCCCACATCTAACCTCTCCATTATTAAAATCTTAGTATGGTACATTTGTTACAATGAATAAACTAATATTGATATATTATTATTCACTAAAGTCCATACTATATTCTACTGCATTTTAAGTTTTGTTTTTGTTTGTTTGTTTTGAGGCAGAGTTTTGCTCTCTCACCCCAGCTAGAGTGCAGTAATATCATCATAGCTCACTGCAACTTCAAACTCCTGGGCTCCAGCGAACCTCTAGCATCAGCCTCCGGAGTAGCTGGGACTACAGGCATGTGCCACCATGCCTGGCTAATTTTTTCTATATATTTTTAGTTGTCCAGATAATTTCTATTTTTTTTTGAGACAGAGTCTCACTCTGTCTGGACTAGAGTGCCGTGGCATCAGCCTAGCTCACAGCAACCTCAATCTCCTGGGCTCAAGCGATCCTTCTGCCTCAGCCTCCCGAGTAGCTGGGACTACAGGCATGCGCCACCATGCCCAGCTAATTTTTTTAATATATATTTTTAGTTGGCCAATTAATTTCTTTCTATTTTTATTAGAGATCGGGGTCTCGCTCTTGCTCAGGCTGGTTTTGAACTCCTGAACTCAAGCAACCCGCCCGCCTCGGCCTCCCAGAGTGCTAGGATTACAGGCGTGAGCCACCGCTCCCGGCCTAAAAACATTTTAAATATAACTCTATTGAGATATAATTTAACACAATTTACTGCACCCTTTTAAAGTGTACAATCTGATGAGTTTTGACAGTTGAAACCACCAGCACCACAATCAAGATACAGAACAGTTCTGTCACCCCAAAAAGTTCCCACCTGTCTGTCCCTTTGCAGCTTCTGCACCCCAGCCTCGGGCAACAGCTAATCTGATCTCTGTCACAATAGATTAGATTTCCCAGAATGCTAATAAATCATGCAGTTTGTAGCCTTTTGCGACTGACTCCTTTCACCCAGCCTGATACATTTGCAATTTATCCATGTCCTAGTGCTTATCAAGAATTCATTCCTTTGTGCTGCCGGTGTATTCGGTGGAATAGATGTATTGCAACGCGTTTATCCATTCAGCAGCTGATGGACATTTTGGGTTGTTTCCAGTTTGGGGTGATTATGAAAACAGCCGCTATGAACATTCCTGTACAAGTAAGTCATTGTGTGAATACGTTTTCATTTCCCTCGAGTAAATACCGAGGAGTGGGATCGCCGGGTCTGGTGTCTTCCACATTCTTTTTGTGGCCGCTTGGATGTGTTCCATAACATGGGGTTTTGCTTTCTAGCGCCGCTCACCACCTTATTTTATGTTTGATTATTTCCTTGTCCACGCGCTTGTTATTTACCTCTCAAGCATTTCTTCTCTGAAAAAGAAGGGAAGTGGTTAGGGGCCAAAATCCTGAAGCCAAGCTGCCAGTTGGACTTTGGAGATGGTACTTAACCTCTCCGTGCCTCAGTTTGCACAGCTGTAGAATGGGGATAATAAGAGTGATTAGGATTGCTGCAGGGTTTAAATGAGAACAGGGCAGTGCATGTAAAGTGCCTAGCACAGCGCCTGCTATATAGAATGCTCAACAGATGTTTGCAGTTACCATTACTCAACATGCTCAGCACAGAGATGGCAGCCAGCGGGGATATTTATTGAATGAATTTGAACAGTCTTTAAGAGCATCAGTTTTGGAGTCAGACTTCCTGGTTAAAATCCCAGCAGGGCTATTTACAAGCAGTGGGACTTTGTTCTACTTCCCACCCAACTCCCGTGCCTCAGTTTCCTCATCTGTTAAATGGGACTAAGGATCCCATTTTATAGATGACTGGCGAGGATTAGATAAGCTCATGTAGGTAAAGTGCTTAGAGAGGGTCTGGCATAAAGAACAGTGAAAAAATCAGAAGCAACCTAAATGTCCAGTAATAAGAATTTAACTACATCATGGTACAGCAATAATTCAAAAGTAATAGTTATAATAAATATTATCAAAATAGGGTTTACTAATGATGAATATTTTCACATATACACCTTTGTCTGTGTCTTTCTTTTGCTTTAAGATCAATTCCTAGACGTGGAATTGCTGTATCAAAGGGTATGAGAGTGGTTGTTATCTTGTATTCTCATCAGTACTGATTATAATATTTAAAAAATATCTTTTTGAGAGACCAAAACCAAAGGATCTATTTAATATTCATTTCATTAATTTCTTGTTTGCCAATGCCATTATTTCCTGTTTATTATCTGTATTATTTTTTAATGTCTTTTTTCTCTTTTTCTGTGTTATGATTACCTTTTTAAACTTATTGACCCTGCAAATGCTCTTTACATATGAAGGCCAGAATGCTTTGCTTGACATCCATATATTGTACTATCGACCCAAGTAAATGACTGATACAAAAACTCAACCCATGGAGGTTTATGAAGCCAACATTTTGAGGATGCACCCAGGAAAAACATCAGACTGCAGACGAGCTGTGGCTGTTTTTCTGAAGGGGAAGTTAAACCTTCAGCAGTTTAATGGCATAGAGACATTTTACATAAAATAAGGGAGTGAAGGAAACATTAATTATGTAGATATCCCTGGGTAGGTGGAAGAATGTCTAATTCTGTCTTGTCTCCGTTTCTGTTACCTGCAAGATAAACTTGTAATTCATTAACAGTGTGGGATCAGACAGGCTTTGGTTTCAGGTGGGAGACATAGGGACAATTTGCATGTCGTGGCTTATGGGAGGTTAGCAAGGACTTTCCTTAATGATTGATCTGCAGGCCCTGGTCTTCACAGGTGCCTGAGGCTTTTACCTTCTCTTTTGCATAAGGAGTTGCAGGTGGCCCTGAGACTTTGATTTTCTTTTTACAGCAAGGTTATCTTTTTCCTTTATGTACTGAAATTTGTAATTCTTTTTTTTTTTTTTTTTTTTTAGTAGTAACATACAAGGGAAATGAAATTTGTAATTCTTACGAGGCCTAATCCTTTTCACCCTCCTCTCCTGTTTCCATTCTTGAGGGTCACACCTCCTCTACCCCCCACCTCCAGGAAGCCCTCTGTAGGAGGTTCTTTAGGGGCTGATTTTCCCGTCCTAGAGGATCCTGAGGTGGCTAAGCCTGATTGCCCACCCTGAGTAAGTCCCTGGGCTTACAAATCTGTCACTTGGATTCTTCCAGGGCTCTGACTTTTGGCTGGGATCCCCAAAGAAGTTACAAGAGGGCTTCCCCAGACTTGGGTTCTAGAGCAAAAGGCTCTGAAATTTGTGCAGGGCACTAAAGAGGCAAAGACTGCACCTGGCTTTCTTCCCATCACGACGGCCTGAATAAGGTGCTGTCATCTCAGCTACTAATCTTGTTTTATGTAAGACGTAAACATTTCAAAAGAGCACAAAAACAAAGATGTTCAATGGGGGCCAGGATACTTTAAAGGGTATATTGTCTCTGAGCGCTGGCGGGAGTGTGCATTGAATCTCTGCAGCAGAATTTGGCAATGCGTGTCCCAGGCCGTGGGGCGGCAGCAGAGGGCAGGCAGTGACAGCAGTGCCTGGGAGTCATTAGTGAGTGACTTTGAGTAAGAGAAGTAACTTCTCTCAGGCTCAGCCCGCCCCTCTGAGAAACAGGGATGGATAATCATGGCCCCTGTTGTTAAAATTACACTGTGTAAGTCTGGTGTGCACGCCTGCTGCCCCAGCTACCTGGGATGCCAAAGCAGGAGGATCCCTTGAGCCTCAGAGTTCGAGGCCAGCCTGGGAAACACAGCGAGGCCCTGTTTCTTAAATAAAAAAATAAAAAATTCACAGCTTAGCACTATGCCTCCTCATGCATAGAAATGCTTGAAACGTGGGAACAATCATTAAATTTTTAAGATGTATATTCCAGCCGGACCTCACACCTGTCATCCTAGCACTCTGGGAGGCCGAGGCAGGTAGATTGCACAAGGTCAGGAGTTCGAAACCAGCCTGAGCAAGAGCGAGACCCCGTCTCTACTATAAATAGAAAGAAATGAATTGGCCAACTAATATATAGAAAAAGATTAGCCGGGCATGGAGGCGCATGCCTGTAGTCCCAGCTACTCGGGAGGCTGAGGCAGCAGGATTGCTTGAGCCCAGGAGTTTGAGGTTGCTGTGAGCTAGGCTGACGCCATGGCACTCTAGCCCGGGCAACGCAGTGAGACTCTGTTTCAAAAAAAAATGTATATTCCCTTTGCCCCAGCAGTTCCATCTGGGATGCTATTCAAAGGAAATGATTAGAGATATGCACAAATATTTAGCTGCTTGGCTTTTTTTTTTTTTTTTTTGTGGGAGGGGAATTACTTATAATAGCAAAATATTTATTACAGCGTATATGTTCAACAAGAAAGAGTGGTTAAACAAATTAGAGTTCATTGATACGATGGCATCATATGCAGCCATTAAAACTAATCTTCTTGAAGAATACTTAATGACATGGAAAGATGCTGGTGATATTTATAATCTTGTGTTTAAGCGATACGACATTCTTTAGAAATGTGCGTTTCAATTCTGTTAAGAGAACAAGGTAGGTAAATGTGAGGAGGAAATAACTTATCCTATAATCATGCATTCGTTGTTTCCACAGACATTAATTAAATAAATGCCTACTATGTGCTAGACACTGTTTTGGGCAGGTGAGAAGGACCAAACCTTTAAGAGTATCTCTGCAGCGGTGGAACTACCACTCATTCAATCCTCCATTGAGCAAAGGGTTACTGAGCATTTGCATGCCAATAATGTCAGCGCCCCGGGACTGCAACAGGAAACAAAGACAAAAATCCATGCCATCCTGGGGCTGATTTCCAGCATGGGACACGATAACAAACAACGACTATAATTAGCAACAAAAAATAAGAAAATGCAGGCAAAGGGTTTGGTAGCTTTTGAGAGGGATGTTGTTGCTTTCTAGGATGGGCAGGAATGATCTCACTGAGGAGGTGGCACTGGAGTAAAAGCCTGAAGGAAGGGAGGGAGGGAGCCAAGAGGACACCTTTAGGTTCCAGACAGAGGAACACTGAAGGCAAAAACCTTGAGGTGAGAAAGCACGTGATATTTTTCAGGAAGAGCAAGAAGGCTGGAGCCCTGTGAGTAAGATCATAGAAGAGCATGTCTGAGTTTAGTTTATGGGTTTTTGCTTTTTGTTTCGTATTTTCCAATTTCTTGACTAATTACTCTTTTAAAAACTTATAAAAGAGATTAAGATCAGATAGTGTCAGGTTCCCAGACTCAGACAGACTGTCGTTCTAAACTCATTACCTACTTCCTGTGATGCTATGCCAGCTAGTTCGCCCGCTGAGCCTTAGTTTCTTTATCTGTAAAATGGGCATTAATAATATAATACAATAGGGTTGCACATTCAGCGAGATAATGCAAACAAAGCACTTAGCCAGGTGCCTGGCTCATAATAAATGGTTAAGAACTGCTTTCTGGTCATTATTAACCAATTACTGTCTTCCACCCCCTAATTCCCTTTGGGGGGGAAGGTGGGAACAGGCGATACAAGAAAACAGTCATTTCTCCTTTAAGAACCTGAGCGGGCCGGGAGCCAACCTTCCCGCACCTTTTCCAAATTTTCCAATCCCTGCTTGGCATTTTCCGTCCGAAAGTCTCCGATTGGACAATCTGCACCAGTCGGAGGCTGGAGCGGGAGCTACTAGGAGCCCGGCTCCGCCCCTGCGCAGGCCCTGCCCACTGCCCGGTCAGCGCCGTTGCTATGGGGACTGGTGGGCGGCGAGGGGGGAAAGCCCCGGATGTTCGTTGGGAATTCAACATGGCGGCGGTAGTGGCCGCCGTGGCGGCGGCGCAAGAGAACTGAAGGAGGCGCGAGGGCGCAGAGTTCGGGTCCGAGAAGCTAGGCCGCTAGCGACTGCAGCGCCGAGCCGGTAGGATAAGCGGTCTGGCCAGAGGTGTGGGGTGGGCCGGGCACTGGCGGTGGGAGAGCGTTTACGCGAGGAGGGGGGCGGGGCAGCCGGGGTCAAAGTTCACTCATGGAGGGAAGGGTCGCGTCCTAGGGGTCGAGGGTCAACGTTAAGGGGAGGGAGGTGCAGAGGAAATCGGAGGTCGAACTACCAAAGGGGGCGTGACAGGAGGGAGCGCATAGTTTGAAACTTGAAGTGGGGGCGCGTTGGAAGGGATAGGGCGAGTCTCAAAAAAGGGTGAGTTCAAGTCAGTAATTTGAGGGGAGGCTGCGCCTACGGGGGTCAGAGGCACAACCACGGGGGTGGCGGGTTGGAGGTTTAAGGTCGCAACCAGTGGAGCAAATGGATGAGATTTGGATTGGGGGGCGTTTTTTTAGGGGATCATAGGTGGGGCGTGGCTAGAGGGTACAAAGGTCAAAATCTGACTGTGGGACAGATGTTGAAGGGTCAAAAGTTAAAGCCCTCATAGGGCATGTTGCTGGGTGGAGGGGCAGGGACATCCAGGAGGTGCTTCCCGGTAGTGGGAGAAGGGAGAGCGCCTCCCACAGACACTGGTAATATGGCAGTCACTCTGGAAGCACTTACACTGTGCTAGACCCTCTTTCCCACCCTTTACATATATTAACTTGTTTAGTCCTCACTACAGCCTTGTGGGGGCTTAACCTGTTATTAAGAGGTCAGGTGATTTGCCCAAGATCACCCAGTGAGTGAGTTGTGTGGCTAGAATTCCATCTCTGGAATTCAGGCCCAGGGTCCTTGCATGGCCTAAGGCCTCTCAATGGTAATGCGGGTTAATGTTTTATGTGCTCAGTGATGTGTGTGCCCAGTTTTATTTAATTCCTACCACAGTCTTGTGAAGTGGGTACTAAAGGTGAACCCACTTCACAGGCAGAAAAAGCGAGGCTCAGAAAGCTTCTGCTAAGGGCAAAGACAAATTCAAAGCTCAGCCTGGCTGATGCCAGAGCTCCTGCCCTAGTTGCCACATTGTCCTTTGCCAGTAGGTCTGTTCCTGGAAGCAGGGGGCTGGGCAAGGCTGGGACACTCCCTGGGCAGGAACAGATTGTCTGCTTGGCCTCCTTGGAAGGGTGTGATTGAGGAGGGGAGGTTCCCATGGGCCTATGGGAGTGGGTTGTTTGTGGGTGGCCCAGAATCTGAGTGAATCTGATGATTTTCTGACTGGGAAGGGTGTCCCAGGGTGGTACCCTGTACACAGTTGGTTGTTCTTAAAACCCCAGGCTCTGGCTGTGGTCCTCAGTCACTCCCACCTCATTTCCTCCTGCTCTCCCCACCACTCCCCCGCCTGTTTGCTGTTCTTGACCTCCAGGCTTCTCCTCCCTCCAGGTTATTGACCTAGCTATTTGCTCTGCCTGGAATCCTTTTCCCATACTGCCCTTTCACTGGGTGTCACTCACTCTCAGACAGACCAGGACCACCCCTAGCTCCCACTGCCCTCAGGCTCTCTCTGTCTCGCCCTCTGTTCTCTTCCCAGCCAATCACTTCCTTCTTACCTTGTTCCTAAGTGTCTGCCTCCCCTTCTAGAACCCCCTCTAGAATGTGGGTTCCGCATGGCAGAATTCCCCTATGGAGGAGTTCCTTCCCTCAGTCCCCCCGGAAGCCCTGCCTAGCCTGCAGAGGGTGCTCCTTTGGTGGTGGTTGACTGTTGGGCACTGAGCTGGGACTGCCGGGGACAAGACCCATAGAGCCCCCACCCTCAGAGGGCTCTCAGGGTCCCCTGGTGGGAGCAGGCTGGAACCAGACCCCCAGCCAGTGACACATGGCTACATCTCTACAAACCGTCATGTGGCCTGTGAGGACATGTTCAGGGAGCCAGGAGAGTGTCCATACCTTGGGCTTGGGCTGAGGCCTGTGTCCCTTTCCCCTGGGAAAGTCCCCTGGGGAAGTTCTGAAGGATGAGGAGGAGGGACAGGAAAGGGTGCAGCAGGCAGCAGGAGCAGTGTGTGCAGGGGCCCTGGGCATGCGTGGAGTTGGGGCCTGGAGGCAAGAGTAGCCTGTGTGGGGTCAGGGTGAGACCCCGGGGTGGCTCAGCCTTGAGGGACAGTGGGAGTTGGGGAGCGCCGACGAGCTGCCTGAGTATGTGGAGCTGTTCTGTGGGGCCACAGGGGGATGTGGTTGAAAGAGCAGGCGCGGACCAGGGATGCCTGGTTCACACCCAGCCCCATCACTCACAGGCTGTGCCTCAGTTTCCTCCTCTGCAAAATGGGCATAACGATAGTGGCTGCCACATAGAATTGCTGTGAGCATGCAGAGCGTAGTGTGCTTGGCCCAGGCCTCGTGTGCAGTAGGTGCTGCGTAAGCAGTAGTTTCGCTGCTGCAGCTGCTGCTGCTGCTACTACTACTACCCCCGCCTGGGGAGCGCCTCTCTCCACCGGCCTCCCTCCCGGCGTTCTCTGGCAGCCATCCCACTCCCACCTGGCTCTGGCAGGGTCACAGAGCGGGCACACTGCCAGGCAACCACGTGAGGCCAACCCAGCCTCCAGACCTTGCGGTGCCAGCTCACTCCGTGTCTCGGGGCTTGGCGCAGATAAGGAGGGCTAAGGTTTGGCATCAGAGACCCTTGTTCAGGTCCCTGTTTTGTCACTTACCAGCTATGGGACCTTGGATAGGTGATTTCTTACTTGCCAGTTTTGTTCCTTATGATACATTGTGGACTAGGGGGAAAGAGTAGAGCTTTCAGTATAATGAAATACTCATGCAGAAATACCTACCTGTCGCATCCGTCCTGGGACAGAACATGCTGTGATATGGTTACAGGCCAAGGGTCTCCTCCCCACTCCCCTTCCGCCCTCCTTTCCAGTGGTAGTGCTCTACTGGATTTGGTTGTCAGCATTCCTCTGCAGCTTGTCATACTTTTGCTACCCTTGAGTGTATTCGCAAACAACAGAGCAATAGCTATACGTTGCAACCCCCTGGAGAGCTTTAATGAGATGCTTTTGCCCAGGCCCTCTATACACCATGGAAATTCTTCAGACCCGGCCAGGCGTGGTGGCTCACGCCTGTAATCCTAGCACTCTGGGAGGCCGAGGCAGGCGGATTGCTCGAGGTCAGGAGTTCGAAACCAGCCTGAGCAAGACGCCGACTCTACTAAAAATAGAAAGAAATTAATTGACCAACTAAAAATATATAGAAAAAAAATTAGCTGGGCATGGTGGCACATGCCTGTAGTCCCAGCTACTCGGGAGGCTGAGGCAGAAGGATTGCTTGAGCCCAGGAGATTGAGGTTGCTGTGAGCTAGGCTGACGCCACGGCACTCACTGTAGCCTGGGCAACAAAGTGAGACTCTGTCTCAAAAAAAGAAAGAAAGAAATTCTTCAGACCCGCTTGCTCTGGAGTGGCGCTGTCTTCAGTCCTTACGAAGCTCCCTGGGCAGCTCTCATGGTGATCCGGGGCTGGCCACTGCTGTTTTACAGTTCATATAAATGGTGTCACTGTTAACATGTCCTACTGCAACTTGCTTTGCTCGACATTACTATATATATAAAATTATTTTTTAAGAGACAGGGTCTCGCTAGGTTGCCCAGGGTAGACCTGAACTCCTGGGCTCAAACAATCCTCCCGCCTTAGCCTCCCGAGCAGCTGGGACTACAGGTGGCTTTTTGCTCATCGTTAGAGTTTGGATCTTTTCCGTGGGCATGTGTGTAGGTCTAGGACAGGTCATTTTTCTCCCCTGCTATTACTTCTTTTTGTGATTGTGTGTCACAGAGAAAGTATCTGTTTACCTTTTGGTGGCCATTTAGGTGATTTCCTGTTGGGGCTGTAACAGTGCTCTGATGAGCATTCTAGAATGTGTTTCCTTGTGTGCTATGGCCAGAGGCTGTCTTGGGAATATGCCTTGCGGTGGAAGTGCTGAACCTGCCACCTCTCCCAGCTGTTGCCAAGTCGCTCTCCTAAGCGGTTGTACCAGTGCGTCCCAGCAGCGCTCCAGGGCTCCCTTCAGTCCACGTCCTGCTTCGTGCAAGGTCTCGGCCCTTGCCGAGACAGTCTACTCAGCCATGAGATGGTGCGTTTACGGACCCCCCGCACCCCACCAGGCTAGTTGGAAACAGTTGGGGAGATGGTTCACGTGGCCGGCTTAGCCAGGACCTGACACCCACTGGCCCCTCACACTCAGAGGAGGAGGCAGGCTGGGGAGGGCTTTGACCTTTGCCCTCAAGGGCATCCAGGACAGTGACCCAACTCTCCTTGGGGGGCAGCTCACAGGGCTGACAGCTGGGAAAGGGAACTGTATTAACTAGAAACGCCCTTCAGAGGAGGCAAGGGGGAAGGAGGCGAAGGTTGGAAAGGGCTGGGCAAAGCCTTGTTACAGTCTTTTGATGTGTCTGATTGTTGGTCCCAGTGGTGACCAGCACAGCCCGCCACTGCGCTCCTGTGCTGACCAGAGAGGTCAGGGCTATGTAGGAGGATGCACAGGCAGAGGGGTTGGGGGGTGGGGCACAGGGACTGTGGGACTCCAGAGGAGGTATCTGACCCAGCCTGGGGGTCCATGAGGGCTTTCTGGAGAAGGTGACATCTGGATGAGGAGAAAGAGTGAGCCAGGCCTAGAAAGGGGGTAGAAAGAGCATAGCAGGTAGTGGGTACAGAAAGTGCAAAGGCCCTGAGGTCCAGATGAGCTCGGGGTGTTCAAGGACCATCGCACAGGCCAGTGTGGCCCAGTGGGGGAGGGGGTCAGAGAGGAAGAGGATGAGGCAGACGAAGCAGGACTGACAGGCAGAGGTAAGGCATGCAGATTTCGTTCTGTGTGTAATGAGAAGTCATTAGAGGGCTTTGGCGACATCTGGTTTCCCTGTTATGAGATTGCTCAGGCTGCTGTGTGGGGAGCAGATCGTGGCGCAGGAAGGGACAGGGAGCCTATGGACAGGCTGCTGTGATAGTCCAGGAGGAGAGGGTGGATGGGATGAAGGTGACAGTCATGGAGGAGGGTCCCATGTGCCAGCCGAGATCGTCAGCACTTTGCCCACGTTAACTCATTCGATCTTCGCAGCAGCCTATATGAAGCGGGTGCTATTATCATCCCCGCTTTAAAAATGAGAAAACTGAGCCCCAGAGCGTACGTGACTTGCCTAAGCTCACACAGCAGGCAAGAGGCAGAAGTAGGCTTTGAACCCCGGTCCCCAGGGCTGCAGAGTCACCGCTCGTCGGGGCTGCCTGCCATTGGTTTGGAACTGGCTTTGAAGGATGGGGCTGGTTCCTGTCCAGTTGGTTCTTACCCAGGCTCCTCTTTAGACAGAAGCTCCTGGGGGACCTGTTCCACCTGGGTAGTTTCTGGGCACTGGGTCCCCTCAGGGCCACCTAGTAGCTCCTTTCCTTTCTTGTCCAGAGCCCCCCCTCCTTGCGCTGCTGGCTCGTGGTGAGCCAGACATCCTGGCCAGACGTTAGGGGTGTCCCCGCAGCTGTTTCTCCCATCACCCGAGCCGGGCCGCCACAGATGCTGCCAGCAGGAAGCAGTCTCCGTCCAAGTCACAGCCAGGGAAATGGGACCCTTCCCGCCCAGGCCACCCATCTGGGGCCAGGGCTTATTGTCTGCCAGACGCCTTGGCCCACAGGAAGGTTGTAGGGGCCAAGGAGGGTGAGAAGGGGAACTCTCCCAGGTCCCAGGGGACCCAGCTATGGCGGATGTGACTGAAGCCATTGCTCACTGCAGCCTGTCTCCTGGGGCCCTCGGGTCCTGCCCTGACCTTCCCATGTTTGCGAGGCCATCTGCTGCTGTCCTAAGGGACAGCGGGAATTTCCCTGCCGGGCAGTGCATGCCAACACGTCCCTCAGCCTGTCCCCCCTAGCTGGGAGCTCCCGGGACCTCCCGTTTGTCGCTTACTAAATGGGGGTGTTAGTGGCTACTTCTCAGGGCTGTGGAAGGATTTGAAGAGAGCATGCGCGTGTGTAAAATGCTAGCCCGGTGCCGGGCACGCAGGAAGCTCTTGGTGAGCACTGAACGTCATAGTTCTGTAGGAGCCATGGTTCAATCTCCTCGCACCCTGCCCTCCTCTGGGCGCCCAGCCGTATCGATCCCTCGATAGCCCCCAGCTCTGGCGTCCAGGCTCGGTGAGCCGAGCACCGGCACGGCACGTGCGACTTACTGTCGGGTGGCTCTGCACAGAGACCCTGGGACGGCGGTGTTATTAACCTCATTTCTCTTTTCCTGCATTTTAATTTTCAAAAGGCACATTTTTGCTCCATGTGCGCATATTACCTGTTCCTCTAAATAATAATTGAAAAAGCACACACACAGCTCAAAAGATACACGGAGACGAGCAAATCTCTTTCCCGCCCGCTGCCGGCGACAGCCACTGTCCCACTTTCTTTTCTTTCCTGCACTATTGGTTCCTGCAAGTGTTCTCCCCTCCTTGTAGTTTTTACTCACATGGAGCGGACTTCCCATGATTGTAACATCCTGCCCTTTGCGTCTTTCCCTCCGAAGTTCTGTGTCAGGACAGGGAGTGCTTCCTCCAGTGTCCCGTGGCACGTGTGTGCCCCCACAATTCCCCGTGTGCCGATGGCGGTTCAGATCATTCTGCGTCTGCACGTGAGCGCCGTGTGTCTGAGCTCGTGGTCTCCTGGTCTGGGATGGGCGCCTGCCAGCCCCGCCAGTCGCGCTCCCTCCTGCCAGAGGCTGTGCCCGTTCACACTCACACCCCGCCGTCTAGTGGCACCAGCGTTTCCTCACACCCTCCCAGCGTGGACGCAGCATTGCCTGATGCTTTGACCTTTGCCAGTGAGACAGGTGACAAATGGCCCTCCCCGTGGTTCTGATTTTAATACGAGTAAAGCGGAGCATCTGTGTGCTGTCGAAAGCCATCTGGGCTTTCTTCTCTGGGAGCTGTCAATTCCTGATTTTATTTTCCCTGAGAAGGGGAAACTGAGGCACAGGCCAGCAACTTCACAGCAAGTAAGTGACAGATCTGGGACTCAAACCCAGGCCTTCCCGGCTCTATTCTGGAGTTCCTGACCTGTCTGACACAGTGGAGGTCGAGATCATGGACTTTGGAGCCAGCTTTGCCACTTAATGGCTGTGTGACCCAAGGTGAGTGACTTCACATCTCTGTGCCTTGGTGTCCTCATCTGTAAAAAGCAGATGATAGGCCGGGCGTGGTGGTTCACGCCTGTAATCCTAGCACTCTGGGAGGCCGAGGGGGTGGATCGCTCAAGGTCAGGAGTTCGAAACCAGCCTGAGCAAGAGCGAGACCCCATCTCTACTATAAATAGAAAGAAATTAATTGGCCAACTAATATATATAGAAAAAATCAGCCAGGCATGGTGGCGCATGCCTGTAGTCCCAGCTATGTGAGAGGCTGAGGCAGTAGGATCGCTTGAGCCCAGGAGTTTGAGGTTGCTGTGAGCTAGGCTGCCGCCATGGCACTCACTCTAGCCTGGGCAACAAAGCGAGACTCGGTCTCAAACAAACAAACAAACAAACAAACAAAAAAACGGATGATAGTTATACCTCCTTGTAGGGTTGTTTTGAGGATAGAAATGCATGTTCAGCGGGTAAAATGCATAGTAAGTGTTCAAAGACTATCAGCTGCTAGTATTAATATGCAGAGTATTATTATTAATACGAAGAGGCCCTGTTCTCTGTGCTTTCTGTGAACCACCAAGACCCAGGTGCTGTTACTGTCACCCTTTTATAGGGAAGAACATGGAAAACTGGGGAGGTGAGCCGGGCTGGGGCTTGCTGAGGCCTCCTACCTCCCACCCCCAGACTGAGCCCCAGGATTAGAAGGCTCTGCCTCCTTCCCCTCCCCGTTCTATCCTGTCTCCATGCCAGGCAGGCTGCAGTGGAGCTTTTGAAGGGGACACCTTGAGAGCTGGTTGCCCTGGGCAAAGTCCTCACATGGAGAGCCTCCCTCCGGGCCCTCCCTGCTCCCAGCCCGGCCAGCCCTGGAAACTCCTGATAAAGCTGCATTGTGCGGCGGTTTCGAGTTTGCCTCCCCAGCCGGGTTTCACCACTCCCACACCTCGCCACTCCCACCCGACGATGGAAAGCACCCATGGAAAGCGGCTCGCCACCCAGGGGCCGGCCTCCCCTGCTTCCTTCTCCCCCCGCCCGCCCCCGCGGGCAGCGGGCAGCGCTGGGCACGGGCAAAAGTAGGACACTGCAGGCTGCTGGCCTCTCCGCAGACTCGGCCCCCAGGTAAAGACCCCGCAGGCAGTCCTCGTCCCTGTCTCCCGAGGAGCCCCTCCTTCCCCGCTGCCCACAGGGACCTCCCTAGCCCTGTTGTCCCTTCCTCCAATCTTCCACTGCAGCCTGGCCCCAGATTATGTGCCTCTGAAGTGCTATATATACACGCAGCACTTACAATTCCACTACTCTTTCAAAACCTTTAATAACTGTCAAGTATAATGTGCCTACAGAAAAGGGCACAAAATGCACACGTCAGTTTAGCAAAGAATTATAAGGCGAATAAACACTTCGCCACCAGGTGGGTGAGACAGAGAACGCAGCAGCCCCAAAGCCCCCCCATCTCCCCTCGACCACGGCCTCCATGGTGACCACTCTCCTGACCTCGGTGGTCATCATGTTCCTGCTTTTCCTGATAGCTTTTATCAGCAGGGGTGTATCCCCGAATTCCAGAATGTCGTCTCGCCTGCTTTTGAACTTGACATAAATGGAATCTTCCAGTGCGGCCCTGTCTGAGCCTAACGTCTTTCATCTTTCGGTCTGCGAGACCCATCCTCGTGGCCGCGTGTGTCTGTGGTTCGTCCCTCTGGTCGCCGTGTGGCGTTCTGTCTCTCCATGTCCTGCCGCGCTGGGGCCGCGTCCTCTTGGCAGGCGTCTGCGTGCATCTGTCTCTCCAGGGGCTGCGCCCAGGAGTGCGTTGCTCAGGGCAGGGGATGGGGCGGTGTCACCATCAGTGCACGTCCCGAGGTGGTGGCGCCTGTGTACACGCCCAGCAGTGGTGGGTAAGCTTCTCTGTTGCTCCACGTCCTCACCAATGCTTGGTGCAGTCAGACCTTTAGTTGACCTTGAACATGTTTATTCTTTTCTCCTGCGAAAGTATTAATGACGCTGCTGGTTGTGTTGGGAGGGGTCCCCCACCTGTGTCGTTTTCTCCTCCCCACGTTCCTGCCTGTCCCAGCTCTCACCCATCCTACAAATAAGAGTCAAGTGTTGGGGACCCAAGAGTGAACGCAGGTAACAGGTGGCCCTCGCTGAGCTGTCGGCAGGGGACACAGAGATGGGTAAGATGAACCAAACTGCTGGCTCCCAAGCCCCCATCCTCCCACAGTGACCCTGTCTGTGTAACGGGCACCCATGTCCCTCCTGTTGATTGGCCCCCAAAGCTGGCATCATCCTGACTCGTCTCTTCCTCTTCTCCACACCCCAAATGTCAGGAAGGCCTGTCACCTTCTACCTTCAGAATGTGACCTGGCGCCTGGAACCCCCACCTCCCTCCTGGACCGTTGCTGTAGCCTCCTGGCTGTCACAGCCAGAGGGGGCTGTGAACGTCCCTGCTCTGTTAGGGACCCTCCCCTGGCTCCGCCTCTCCCAGGGGAGAAGCCATGAGGCCTGAGACCGGCCCAGCTCCCCTGCCTGCCCGCTTCACTCCTCCCCTGCCACGCCAGCCCTGAATGTTCCTGCCTGCCGTGTCAGGGCCTTTGTCCCTCCTCCCCCTCTGCTGGTAGCACTCCCGTCCCTCCATTCGGGCGCATCTCCACCGACGCCGCGCCTGCAGGGGCAGTCCCTGTCGTTCTCTGCGGCCACCTTCCCCTGCGTGGTTTTCTCTGTGGCACTCATCATAGTTACTTGTGTTACACTATGATTTTTACTGTGTCCCTCCCATAACTTGGCTTCCCGGGGGTGGGGAAAGACAGGCCCTTGCTGTGTCCCTTGCCGTGTCCTCGGGGCTTGGCATGGAGTGGTCTCTGGATAAACACTGGTTGACTGACCGAGTGAGCTGTCGTAGGCCGAGCTGCCAAAGTGTCTCATGGGGGCTCCGCCCTGGGCGGGCGCGGGGCAGGCTTTCCTGAGGAGGAAATGCCACTTGAAGTATGACCTGGCCTCCGCTGAGGGAGGAGCCGGCCCAGGCTCAGGGCGGGAGCGTGCCAGGGGCCTTTGAGGAAGGGTCAGTTCTGGAGTTGGTCTGGATTCAAATGGTGACGGCCACTCAGGCCTCCCTGGCCTCGGCGTCGTCTTCTCTATGAAGCTCGTTCGGGTGATCCAGGGCCTCCCTGAAGTTCTCTGCTGACATGCTGACCCTGGTGCCGGGCTCAGAAATGTAAATGTGATTGTTTATTTTTTCTGCAAATACGCTGGCTGGCGTGCTGGCCTGCTGTGACTTCCAGGGACACAGTGGCAGATAAACAGACCCAGTTGCTACCCATTTGGAGCCTTTGTGGCGGCTCGGCTGTCTCGGGTGCCCCGCTTGGAGGCGGGAGAGGGCCTGACGTGACCTTGGGCCTGGAGTGTCCTAATTCTGGACACAGGAAGCTCTTTAGGCCGATTAATAGGGGAAAATAATGGAGGGTTTGCGTGCGCCATCGCCGGCCCCGTGCGGTGCTCCCACGCTGCCGCCCCCCTCCCAGAATCCAGGAGGTGGCGACGCCCATTCGACCCCTTTCACCGATGCGGAGGGTGAGGGTGGCACCGCAGGTAGGGTCTGGTGGCCTCCTCTGTGGCGCTGGTTTGCGTTTCCCCGGTGGCCAGTTTCCCTTTTGTTCTTCCAGCTCCCGTGAAGGGCCGTTCATGGCGCTTGTCTGTTTTTCCACTGCACCGCCTGCCGTTTTAGGGTTCATTCGAGTTAATTCCTAGATGCTGGATGAGGGCCTTTGCTTCCAGGGTGTTACCCTGAACCTTCTCCCAGTTGGTGGCTTGTCCTTTCACTTTTTTTTAATTGTATATTTGATGAACAGAAGTGCTCAATTTTAATGTAGTCAGGTTTGCCACTCATTCCCTTTGTAGGTTTATAGTTCTGCTTTTCACGTTTTGTCCGTATTGTTTCTACATGTGCGAGGTGCGAGGTGGGCATCCAGTTCCACGTTCTCCACGTGGCTTCCCCAACCCTCTTGGCGCTATCTGTTGGAAACAGACTGACTTTCCCCACTGCTGCCCTTATTGTAAATCATGTCTCAACATAATCGTCTGTTTCTAGGTGCTCTCTCCTTTTCTCTTGCTCTGTTTGCGTGTTCCCGCGGTAGAACCACACTGTCCTAATTTCCTAGTTTTTAAGTATTAATTGCAGAGCAAGCAAGCCCTCCCACTTGTTCTTCAGGAGTAATTGGCCATTCTTGACTTTTTACAATGTTTTAAAAATATTAGACAAGCATCTTGTCAGTGTATTGTACACACCATGCGTGTACACGCGCGTGCACACACACACGCACATGCGGCAGCGAGTCTCCTAATCCATGAACGTGGTATGTCTCTCCATTTATTTATATCATACTTTTTCAGCAGAGTCCTCGCCCACCCCTTGTTGGATTATTCCAGGCTACTTTGTAATGCAGCAGAGGGGCTGGTCTGTGCCCTCCTCTCCCGGGAGGCACTTTGCTCCCTGGGTTTGACTTTGCTGGGTGGAGACCTCATGGCTGTGGCGGGAGCCCATCTCCCCCATTCCCTGCTTCTTCCCTGGCACCGTCCCTGGGCCTGGTAGAGGGTGGGCAGGGTGCCCAGAGAGGAGGCTGTAATTTTCCTGAATGATTTCAAGGGCTAATTAAAGGTTTTCCTTGACTAATCAGCTTACAGTTTAATTATCAGGGAACAGGCTCGGGGACGCGGGAAGCAGCTCTGCTGGGGTCTCCCCGCAGCGTGGCAGGAAAGAGTCAGGGCCCAGCCCTGCCATGTGGGGGTGGCGGGATCTGGGGATACCCCAGCAGCCTCCAGCGGGCCAGTGGGGTTCTCCGTTGCTGTTGCTGTGAGAGACAGAGGTGGGGGCAGCAGGCGCGGCTGAGGTTGGAGCAAGTCCCTCCCCTGCCTCAAATCCTCCCATGGGCCCCATTGCCCAGGGAGGGGTCAGGACCCAGCCCCTCCAGGCCGTGCCCCTGGTCGCCTGCTTGCCTCTGTGCTTGCTTCGTTTGTGCTGTGGGTCTTGGCGTGAAGGTCAGCACCCCTGGGAAGCCTTCTCTGGCGTCCCTCCTGCACTGAGGGAGTTCTCAGGGTTCAGGGGACCCAAGAGGATGAGGGGTTCAGGACCGGAGCTCCGAGGAGAGGGCTGGGAGTGAGTGTTCCAGCAGAGAGTCCCAGTGATGGCTGAGGCCTTCCCAGGCCAGGCGGCTGGCAGGACCCAGCATGGGCTCTTCTGGGAGCTTGTGCAGGGGGAGGGGACCTGGAGATGGCCGTGTCAGGCCCGGCTTCATTCCTTGCATTCCTCAGCAGGCCCCAGACTCCTGGTGGCCTTAGGTGGGGGAGGGAGACCCAGCAAGAAAGGGGCCTTCTGGGTATTGCCCCTGTCACTCTGCCAGCTTTATGGGCCTTATCTTCCTGTCTCTGTCTCACTTTACACCCTCCCGTCCCCAGGTCTCAGGCCTGGATCTGTGAGTCCAGCCCTCTCTCCCATCTCAGCCTCACCCCTGGCTGGACCTTAGACTCACCTGGGTGGGATGGGAAGTGGCTGGGGGGCGGGGGGCAAACCCAGACCATTTGAGTCAGAATCTCTGGCTGTGGGGCCTGGGCACTGGGTTTTTAAAAGCTCCCCTGGTGACTCTACTGTGATTTTGAGCTGGGATGAGAACCACCGGCCTGCAGGGATGAGGGCAAATGTGAATTAGCTTTGGAAATGTTAGTTATTTTTGAGGCTTCTGACGTGGCGTGATGAAGCCGTAGGAAGAGGTGACTCCTATGTCACGGACAAGGCAGCGAGGCCCAGAGAAGCCTTGCGTGCCTGGCGGTGTGGCCTCTGTCACTGTCATTTTGTCTTCCCATCCCTGGGCTGTCTGGATGTCTGTCTGGACTGTTTCTCCATCTCCCCCTCGCTCTCCATTTCTTCTCTCATCTCTCTCTCCATTTCCTCTCGGCTTCCTGTTTCTCTGTCTCTTGTCTCCTTCCTCCTCCCCCCTGCATTTCTGCTGCCCCCCTCACCTGTCTTGAGGCAGGATCCAGCTGAAGCCGCAGAGAGGAGATGATTTCTGCAGGCCCGGGACGTCCTTCTGATGGGAAGGATGCTGATGTCACCGTGCTGGCCTCCTTCGCTGCTC